AGCCTTTCTGTACGCTTTGTGACCTTCAAGCAGAGATGGATGCAAACCACGTTCGTCTTTGCCCGGCACTGGGGGATATCCCTTTGTGTGACTGTTACTGGCGCGCAAGAGACTTATTGGGGTCATGGACTTTTCTTGCCACGTTTGTTTTGTGTTTGTTTATTTTGTTGTTCCTCCATTGTGGTGAGTGGTCTTTTGTAACCTTGGCCATTGGAAATAAAAAAAAATTATATATTGCTTGTATATTAAGATTATAAATTGTATTCTTTTCATGTTAATTGTGCTTCTAACATAGGGAAAGTATTGTAAATAGAGAATAATTTTTTATACATTTTTAGATGGTTATACAAATGTTTCAGGAAAGTGGGCTGCAACATAAAAAGCTTTAATCTTTTTATGTTATTTTATTATCTAAATCTTTTTCTTAATTTATTATTCAAAACTAAACATTTTCTCACACTTAATTATTCACTCATAATTTTATTCACACATATAAATTTTATTCTTTTCATGTTCATTGTGCTTCTAACATAGGGAAAATATTGTAAATATAGAATAATTTTTTATAAATTTGCCTGGAACTTTAATATATATATATATATATATATACATGCAAGACAAGGTACGAAGCATTATAGCCACCTCGCCAAATGCGATAAAATCGTAAATTTGGCAAATAAAATTGTGCTATCTCGAATTATTTTTTCCACTGGAAAGAAAAATATAAATTTAACTCGATCCTCGAAATTAGTCATAATGAATTATTCTATACAAATCAGTACCTTTTATTCAATTGCAGTAATTTTCGGTAGATGAGCCGAATTACCAATAAAAATTGGTTCCAAATAACATAATACTGAAACAAATACCGTAAAATAGTTTTCTATGGAAAAATAAGAATCATAAAAAATTGTTAAATTAAATAAAATTGTGAAATGATTGTTACATTTTTAATTGTTGTAATGCATTTGGCGAAGACCTTCTAAAAATTGGCGAATACTTTTGATATTTGGCTCATTTACTGACTAATAATTTAAATTCTTTAGATCGAGCCCTGATAAGAAATAAAGTAGTTTTTTCTTATTTTAATATTATTCATTTATTTATCTATTTATTTATTTATTTAAATACGCCAATGAGTTAAACAACTTATATCCAATGCCCCAATGAAGTATTCGTAATAAAAGTTATCATGCGGCTAAGACTATAGTACTCAAACTATAAAAACTTAAATCTGAAACATTTTCCGATTTGACTAAAAACATTTAAACTTCCTTTCTAACATTTGATTCCATTTTAAATAAGTCATGACTGATTGTTCAAACAATAATTGCTTCGCAGAGTCAGAAACTTTCTTTTTAATGCCATAGGAATTTTTTAAAGGCCCATTGATGGAGCGACAAAAAAAATTCCCACATATTTTGGGATCATTTCCTCAGCCACGAAAAGTTTTA